CAGAATTCGGTTCCCGGGGAACCGAATTCTGAGTGTGATTAGTAAACGGTTCTAGTTGTGTAAATAAAGTTGTACAGGTATTATTTTGGTAAAAAAATTTTAAAAAAATATTATTTACGTAAAAAATTCGTTTGTAAGTCCTCCTGGCCGAAGGTTCTTTTACTCGTTCAAGAGCTTTTATTCAATGGTTATTGACCGAAATGTCTTTGGAAGTTTTGATTAAAAGCCAATGTTTTTTTTTTTTTTAAATAAATAGGCCGAGGAGTTTTAACAACAAATAGGCCGAAGGGTCTAAAAACTAAAAAGTTTAGTAGGCCAAGGAGTTTTGAAAACAAATAGGCCGAAAGGTCTTTAAAAATTGAAAAGTTTAGTAGGCCGAGGAATTAAATAGGCCGAGGACTTTTAACAACAACTAGGCCGAAAGGTCTAAAAACTAGAATGTTTAGTAGGCCGAGGAGTCTTTTATACGTACAGCTTGCTTTACGTTTCAATTATTTGACGAAGGGCTAATATATATATAACCTTGGCTTTCAAAAGCTTTTTCACTGCAGAATCTTTAATACGTGAAGTTTTTATCTTTTAAATATTTGGCCTAAGGCCAAAACGGTCTCCTTAATTGGCCAAAGGCCTTTTGATACGTAAGACTCTCACCGAGGGTATAAGACGGTTTTAACCTTAGATTCCTTTGACTATTATATACGTTTTCCTTAATTTGCCGAGGAATAAAACGGTTTTCTTAATTTTAAATTCCTTTTAATTTTTTTGACCGAGAGCGTAAATCAAGTAATTTTAGATTCCTTTTAACTGCTTTGAAAAATGTATATAAAACAGTTTTTCGGAGTTTTCCTGGCCGAATGCATCTCGGTCGAGGTATCATGCGTGTTAGGTAGGAGGATTGAGTTGTTTTACGCTCTCGTCCGAGGAGGTTTTGATTCATTTTTCACTTTTGAAGAGTGTGTCATTCGCTGAGGTTTTGAGTTCTTTTTCACACTTGACATAATGTATCTTCGGCCGAGGTCTTTGTTTTACGTACTCGACCGAGTGTGTCCTCGGCTGAGGTTTAGATTCGTTTTTCACGCTTGACCAAGTGTATCCTCGGCCAAGGTTTAGATTCATTTTTCACGCTCGTCCGAGTTTGTCCTTGGCCGAGGTCTTGATTCGTTTTACGTACTCGACCGAGTGTGTCCTCGGCCGAGGTCTTGATTCGTTTTTTATGCTCGACCGAGTGTGTCCTCGGCCGAGATCTTGATTTGTACTCGACCGAGTGTGTTCTCGGTCAAGGTTTAGATTTGCCTTCTCTTTTGTTGTTGAAAAAGTTCCTTGTCTTTTTATTCATTGGGGTGCCTCGTTAAAAACCTTCCTTAGCAAAAACCCTTTCACGTTCTTTTAGGGATAAAAAGCTAAGCAAGGAAAAGAGTACACCAAGATACAAGGTTTTTCAACTGTAGTACATTTTCAAGTGTGTTGTATTCCATGTTCTTGGAATCAACTTTCCGTTTAGTTCTTCTGGTTTGTATGCTCCATTTTGTAGGTCTTGATTGATTCTATATGGTCCATCCCAATTGGCCGAAAGCTTTCCTTCCCTTGGATTCCTCCTTGCTTCGCCTGTGCTTCTCCATACTAAATTGCCTTTGTGATTCTCGAGGAGTATATTTGTATGCCCATAAGATTTCAGGTAGCTGCTCCACCCATGCTCCTTTTGCCGATCCTAGCCTCTTTTTCAATTCTGATAATATGACTTTGTTAGCTGATTCTGCTTGCCCGTTTGACTGAGGGTGTTCCACCGAGGTAGATTTATGTTTGATATGTAAGTTGTCCAGGAACTCGTTGAATCTTTTGTCGGTAAATTGAAGCCCATTATCGGTGATTATCGCGTAAGGTATTCCAAATCGGGTTATGATATTTTTCCATGTGAACTTCTGAATGTTTGCTGCTGATATGGTTGCCAGTGGTTCTGCCTCTATCCATTTTGTAAATAAATCAACGGCTACTATGAGGAATTTAAGTTGTCCTTTTGCCATCGGGAACGGACCGAGGATGTCCATTCCCCAAGTAGCAAATGGCCACGGAGAGTTGATACTGTGTAGCTCTTCGGCAGGTTTTCTAATGATGTTACCGTGTTGTTGACATGGCTTGCATTTTTTGACAAAGTCTTCACAATCTTTCTTCAGTGTTGGCCAAAAATACCCTACCCTTAGAATCTTTGCCGCCATCGTAGTTGCTCCTGAGTGAAAACCACATATGCCTTCATGCACTTCTCTTAACACGTAATCTGATTGTTCGGCCGTCAAACATTTGAGCAAAGGTAGCGAAAACCCTCGTCTGTATAATTCTCCTGCAATGAGCACATAACGAGCCACATTTGTTTTTAATTTTTTAGCTTACAATGAGTCTTGTGGTAGTTCCCCTTTGTTCATGTAGTTCAAAATATCTTCCATCCATTCTTTTCCTGTGGTCTCTGCTTGGCAACATTCTCTTGTTTCTATACTTGGAGTTTGTAATTCTTGCTGGAGCAAAGTGTTCAAATGCCCGGGTTTTCGGCTACTAGCTAATCTGGCTAACTTGTCTGCCCTCTCGTTATCATTGCGGGGTATGTGTTGGACCTGTACCTCTTCAAAGTCATCTTTCATTCTCTGAAAAAGATGAAAGTAGTTTAACAGATGTGGTTCTTTTATCTGGAAGGTTCCCTTAATTTGTTCTACCACTACTTTTGAGTCGGTGTGACATTTTATTTTATGCGCATTCATTTCCTTGGCTAACCGAAGACCAACTATCAAAGCTTCGTATTCCGCTTGGTTATTAGATGTTTTGAAATTGAACCGAAGAGATTGTTCGATTGAACATTTGTTTGGTCCTTCTAATATGATACCAACCCCACTTCCTTGACTATTCGAAGATCCATCTGTATGAAGGCTCCACCACACTTCTTCAATCGTTTCTTTTGGATTCAATTCATTTACAAAATCAGCTAATACATGTGCCTTAATTGGACCTCGCTGTTCGTAGCGAATAGTGAATTCTGATAGTTCTATTGCCCATGCCATCATTCTTCCTACTAACTCAGGCTTTTTTAAAATTTTCGCAATGGGGCAATCTGTTCTAACAACAATATTGTGACTCTGAAAATATTGACGTAATCTCCTTCCTGCATAAACCAAGCTTAACGCCGTCTTTTCAGTCAATTGATAACGGGTTTCTGCGTCATGTAACGTTCGGCTTACAAAGTATATTGGTTGTTGTTTACTTTCTTCTTCCTGAACTAGAGTTGTGCTTACAGCCTCGTCCGAGACCGATAAGTACACGATGAGATCCTTGCTTGTATCTGGTTTTGTTAATATTGAAGGGGATGCTAAGGTTTCCTTTAGGGCTTGAAATGTTTCTTGACACTCTTCGGTCCACTATAATTCTTTGATTTTTTTTAGCAATTTTAATATTGGTTTGGTTCTTTCCAACAGCCTGGGAATAAACCGAGACAATGAGGTGAGTCTCCCGATCAATTGTTGTACCTCCTTTATATTTTTTGGGTTTCTCATATCTAGTATCGCTTGGCACCTGTCCGGGTTTACTTGTATACCTCTGAATGACAACATAAACCCCAAGAATTTCCCTCCTTGCACACCAAAAGCGCATTTCTCAAGGTTGAGCCTCATCTTGTATTTTCTAATTTCATTGAATACTTCTTTTAAGTCTTGGATATGTTCCTCTACACTGTTTGATTTCACCACCATGTAGAGCTGTCAAAACGGGTAACCCGGCCCGGCCCGGCCCGGCCCACCACGGGTTGAGCATTTGGTGGGCCAACCCAACCCGGCTCATTTATCAGTGAGCTCAAAAAAATTGAACCCGGCCCGGCCCACCACGGGTTGGTGGGTTAAACGGGTTGGCTCACCTAATTTTAAAAAAAAATGTAATTTTTTTTAATATACAACTAAAGCCCAAAAAACTCAAACCTGTTTTAAAAAATCTAAAACTCTTAATTAAGATTATTCCTTTACAGTAGTCTCATCCAATTCTACAATCTTAAATCTTCATTTCATTATACTAGGCTTATATGAAGGAGAAGGCTTATCTGATCATGACCTTTGGATTGCCTATGTTTTGGGCCTTTTGATTCCCCTGTCCGTAAATAATGGGTTGGGCCCTCTTTAAATAGCCCTTCCAAGAAGTGTTGGCCCAAGTAGGTATGAATGCTAGTTGCTGCATCTTTCTGTTTTTGAAGTCCAATTCATATCTCATCCTTTAGGCTTAACAAAACAATAAGGATATATTTAATATTTTTTTAATTAAATCTGGCCCAATAAGAGTATACGTTTTTTTTTTACGGGTTGGTGGGTTAGCCCGGCTCACCACGGGTTCAACCCGGGTGAGCCGGGTTGTTAGTGAGCCGGGTTCAAAATTGGCCCGTACTGAAATTTTCAAATTTTTTTTGGCCCAACCCGGCTCGAACCCGTGGTGGGCCGGGTTGGCTCACCGGGTTTAGCCCATTTTGACAGCTCTACCACCATGTCATCTACATAGACCTCAACGTTTCGGCCGATCTGTTTGTGGAATATTTTATCCATCATCCTTTGATAAGTTGCGCCTGCATTCTTTAATCCAAAGGGCATTACCTTGTAACAACAGTTTGCTGATTCGGTTATGAACGCGATTTTAGACTCATCTCCTGGGTACATTCTAATTTGGTTATACCCTGAATACGCGTCTAAAAAATTGAAAATTTGATGGCCTGCGGCGCCGTCGACAAGTCGGTCGATATTTGGGAGAGGATAAGCATCTTTAGGACATGCTTTATTTAACTCGGTGTAATCTACACACATTCTCCATTTTCCATTGGCCTTCTTCACCATTACTATATTTGCTAACCAAGTTGTGTATTGTATTTCTCGTATGAACCGTGCATTTATCAATTTCTGTACTTCTGTTTTTACTGCTCTTCTTCTTTCCTCTCCCATTTTCCTTCTACGTTGAGCTACTGGTTTTGCCTCTTTGCATATTGCTAATCAATGACAATGGAATTCGGGATCAATGCCAGGCATATCTTCGGCTGTCCATGCAAATAATTCTTTATTCTTTGTCACTACTTCCTGTATTCTTTCTTTATCTTCCTTCTCGAGTTTCGACCCGATGTATGTGTTTTGCCCTTCTTTATCCCCTAACCGGAATGGCAAAGTTTCTTCATTCGGTTCCATCCTGAGATCTTCGTTCCCTAACCGTGGGTCCAATTCAGTAGTGTCTAACATTTTCCCAGCTTCTGGTGATACCATATGTACATTTTTGTCTTCTCTCTCTATTATTGGTCGTATTTTCAAACTTTCCATGTAACACTCTCTCGCAACTTTCTGATCAGCATGAACCGTAATTATCTTTTGTGATTCTCCTGGAAACTTCATGGCTAGATGTGGCGTTGAGACGATGACTCCTAATGCGTTGATTGATGGTCTTCCTAACAGTATATTGTAAGAAGTATTCGCATTTACCACAATATATCTTATCCTTATAGTTTTTGAAACCTCTTGATTGTAACCGAAGCAAGTATAAAGTTCAATGCACCCTTTTGTTGTTACTCTTTCTCCCGAGAACCCTACCAGTGATTCGTCATAGTGTTTCAGTTCTTCTTCTGGAATTCCCATTTGTTTAAATGTTTTCCAATATAGTATATCAGCGGAACTTCCTTGATCTACCAAGGTCTTTTTAACGATGCAATTGTTGATTTCCACACTGATGACAATGGGATCATCCTGTTCAGGGTCTACTCCTTTGAAATCTTCATCTGTAAAAGTTATAGTGGGCATCTTCTTTTTCCTTTTTTCTACAAAATTTACCGTTTTCACTGCTCTCAAGTATCTTTTCCGAGCAGAAGAGGTTTCTCCTCCTCCTGCGAATCCTCCTGAAATGCTGTTGATGACTCTCTTTTCTTGATTTCTAGCGTTTGGTTCCCTCTTTCTTTCTCTTGACCGAATCCTTTCTCTGCTAATTTTGCGTTCTTCTCTTAGTGTCTCTCTTCCTCTTTGTACGTAATTATTCTTCTCATTATCGTACCTTCGATTAGTACTTTGATTTTCGATGTACTTTTTTAGTTGTCCCTGTTTTATCAATTCCTCCACTTTATCCTTCAAAGCAGCACATTCCTCTGTTGAATGACCATGGTTTTGATGATATGAACATGATTTCGATAGGTCGGCTCTTGGAGGGGTGTGGGCTCTTTTGGGAATGCTCAAAATTTCTGATGCTAGGGCTTGTTCTAATATCCTTGTTCTGGTTGTATTCAACGGGGTGTACTCGGCATAGCGAGGTCTTTTCACCTGATAACTCCTTCCGGTGTCTTCTCTTTTGTTCTTTTGGTAATTTTCCTTTTCGGTTTCTCTTCTGTAAGGCATGGCCTCGGCTTTAGCTTGGTTTCTTGACTCAGTTAATTCCTCCATTTGCATATATTTTTCAGCTCTTCTCCTCAAGTCATTCATATCCAACGGGGTTTTTTTTGCATAAACTGTTTACAAAAGGCCCGGGTTTCAATGTTGTATTCAACCTATCCATTGCAACGGCTGGGTTCAGGTTTTTTATCTCCATTGCAATTTTGTTGAAACGATCCATAAACGACCTTAAAGATTCTTTCTTTTCTTGTCTGATATTAGCCAAGGCTAGTGCTGTCAGTTGGTAAGGTCTGCTTGTGGCGAATTGCATCGTAAATAAGGATGCCAATTCTTCAAATGAATTTATGGAGCCAGGTGAAAGCTTAATGAACCAACTCAGTGCTCGCCCTTTTAGTGAAGTGGGAAAAAGGCGACATAAAGCAGCATTTTCTATTGTCAACAAGGTAACTTGTGTGAGGTATGCGTTCAAATGGTCATCGGGGTTCGAGGACCCATCGTACTTCTCTAGAGGAAGATTTCTCCAACTATCAGATATGGTTGTCTCCATAATGCTTTGAGTGAAAGGGTGTTTGTATGAGCCAGGTGTTATTGTTACCCGAGGGGAAGGTTGCCCGGGAATGGCTGACAGCTGCATAGGAGGGACATGTGTTCGTGTAGTTGTTGGTGCATGATACGAGGATGCCTCATTGTTGGGATGCTCAGTCGTAGGGTTCCAAGTTCTGTTCAAGCTTCTCAATTCAGCATTTTCTTTTCTAAGTGCTTCTAGCTCCTGCGCGTCTTTTTCTCGAGCTTGTTTGGCGGCTGCTATTTCTTCCTGTAGCATATTCACAGCATCTGAGAGATCGGTTTGATCTTCCATGGCAATCGGCCCCAGGTCCTGTTCCTGCTGGACCGAGTGGTTGTTCTTCCTAGTGTTAACCATCTTCCACAAAATCTTCTTCCTGCAAAACAAACAGACAATGCGGGCCTTCAAAATCGGGCCCCGCGGTGGACGCCAAAATGTATCTGCATGGGGATACTCCGGTAATTTTGCTACTCCTGCTGGGTCTTCGTCTTCCGTGATGTATCCTAGAGAAAGAGAGGAGTACCTGCAAAAGGCACTCCAATATTTAAGTCAGTCTTCGGTCTCGGAGTTAGGAATGCTAATCAAATTGGTAATTATGAAAACGTACCTTTATCAGTAGCTGATTACTTATTTATACTAACCTTAATGGATTTAGGCCTACAGCCAGGCCCATTAGATCCAATAATCTTTTAGTCTTATCTATATCCGGTATAAGTACAAGAGTTGAAAGCAAAAAGAACTTGGCACATCTATTTATATTTCTTCAAATTTCTATAGCACTTACTTTGTACAATACATGGTCATGAATAGTCGCAAAACCATCTTATGTTTAAGTCACCTATTATAAAAATAAAAAAAAACCTTTTGAATAACACTTACTTTATAGATTTTGGATCGGAGACTATATCGTGTAAATACTTTTACCCAAAATTGATAGTACCTGTTGTAAACAAAAAAGTTTTTATTTTCATTTATCCAAAGTGTTATAACAATGCAAAAGACTCACCTAAATATTTCAAAAAAAAAGTGCAATAAAGTATTTAATGTATTTTTATTTTCGCACTTGTTATAAAAAAAAAAAAAAATTTAACTATTGTGTGCAGTTAGCATAAAAAAAATATAGATACAAATGTATTTTTTAATACTTGTCTTATAAATATGCTTAGAATAACTTATTTTTTAATACTTGTCTTATAAATATAATTTAATTATTTTTGTTAATTTATACTTTATAATTTTTTATTTTTATAATTTATATTATATTAATTTGATACCTTTTATTCTAAATATGAACATTTTATAATTAATGAATATTATTATATTTTATTAAAATTTAAATATTGTATTATATATAACTTAGAACTTAAATATTATTATATTAAATATTAAGAATTTATAAATAATATATTTTTTTTGTGTTATAAAATAATGATATTATATCTACTAAATATTATTTTTATATTAAATAATAATAATTGTTATTATTTTATTAATATCGATCAAATTCAATCATAATTAAATAATTAAATCTTAAATTAGTACTTGGTTCAATGATAGATTCAATTTTAAAAATATTATTAAAATCAACCCTTACATATAAAATAAAAACGTCTATTTTGCATACATATTTTTATGAAATTTTTTTAAATGAGAGTTTTTAGAAATTCTTTGAATTTTATATCAATTTATTTTTTATTTATTATAATTATTTATAAATTAAATTATTTTGTGAACAATTCTTTTTAGTTTTAGATTAAAATGGAAGAATATATAAATAAGAGACAAAAAGATCTAAATCTATAGAAATGGAAACTAAAGTAGTTTTAAAAAAAAAGTATTACTATATATATAGTATAAATTTATTATTTTTATATATTTATATTTAAATTACTAATAAGTAAAAATAATTTTGTACAATAATATAAATTATTTATTATAAATTTAAAATATAATTCGTATAACTAAAAACATCTATTTATTCATATTTTAAGTTTAATTTATATTACCAAATATTGTGTTTATTTATATCCACAATTTATTTTAAATTTTAATTATATATAATAAATATTGAACACGGAGATCGCATGTAAATATTAAAATACTAGTACTGTAGTTATAATGAAATTCTTTGTTAATACCACAATCTGGAAAGAAGAGTTGAAATTAGTGTAAGGGTTGAATGATGGGTACGAACCACATCCGAAGCATCTGATTGAAATTGATAGTTAGATCCTTTTGTGTTCACGATTTGGGGATTTTGAATATTCAACACAACTGTGAAGATTGTCTCTCCAAAACTTTTTGTAAGTTCCCTTTTTCTTCGCTTATCATTGATTATAGTTTCTGTTGTGCCAATTTCTAGATTTTTATCTTTGACTTTGTTTGGTCTCTTGTGTGATAAGCTTGAAGTGCACTGAATCTAAGTTTAGTCTTGATAATGATTTGAAAGGTGTTAATGGGGTATGGCTTATTGAATTGTGTTGCAGGAGGGAACTGATTTTGTTCCTTGAGCAAAAACATGGTTAGTGAAAATACCACGATGTCTGCTGGTGCGGATCTGACAAGTGCTATAGTACCACTGTTGAAGTTGCTATGCCTAACAGTCATAGGATTGCTTCTTGCAAACCCAACAATGCAATTCATTCCCAAGGCTACATTTAAGCTTCTTAGTAAACTAGTCTTTGCTCTCTTCTTGCCATGCCTTATATTTACTGAGTTAGGTGAAAGCATTACTCTTGAAAACTTTAGGGATTGGTGGTTTATCCCTGTTAACGTGCTGGTGAGTACAGCTCTTGGTTGTTTACTGGGGCTCTTGGTGGTCATCATATGTCACCCACCTCCAGAGTTAACCAGATTTACTATTATAATGACGGGATTCGGCAACACCGGAAATCTCCTCCTTGCTGTGGTTGGATCTGTTTGCCATAGTAAGGATAATCCATTTGGGAAGCATTGCAACACTAGAGGGGTGGCTTATGTTTCTTTGTCTCAATGGGTTTCTGTTATCCTTGTATACACTCTTGTTTATCACATGATGGAACCTCCTATGGAGTATTACGAGATTGTCGAGGAAGGGGCTGAAATTGAGGAAGAGCAGGCACTTAATGATATCAGTAGACCACTCCTTGTAGAAGCTGAGTGGCCTGGCATTGAGGATAAAGAGACCGAACATTCTAAGACACCCTTTATTGCCAGGATCTTTAAGAGCATCTCAGGTATTTCCTCATCCACTATTCCTGAGCTTGAAGTCAATGCAGAAAGTGGTGGTGGTGGGAATAGTCCAAAGTCCATTAGATGTTTGGCTGAACCTAGAGTTGTAAGGAGGATAAGAATTGTTGCTGAACAAACTCCCCTTCAGCACATACTTCAACCCCCAACAATTGCCTCTCTATTGGCTATCATCATTGGCATGGTGCCTCAGCTGAAAGCTTTGTTCTTTGGATATGATGCTCCATTATCTTTCATTACAGACAGTTTGGAGATTTTGGCTGGGGCAATGGTGCCTTCTGTGATGCTTATATTGGGGGGTATGCTTGCTGAAGGACCAAATGAGTCTAAACTTGGCCTTAGGACTACTATTGGTATTACTGTGGCAAGACTCCTGGTGCTTCCTCTCCTGGGAATTGGGATTGTGGCATTGTCAGATAAGCTAAATTTCCTAGTTGCGAATGATGCTATGTTTAGATTTGTGCTTTTGTTACAGTACACTACACCGAGTGCCATTTTACTGGGAGCAATTGCCAGCTTAAGGGGTTATGCAGTAAGTGAAGCCTCAGCCCTTCTCTTCTGGCAGCACGTGTTTGCCCTTTTCTCCTTTTCTTTGTACATTGTAATCTACTTCAGAATAATTAAGTATGTTTGAAGTTGTAGTATATTATTTACTGCCTTGATGCTGTTGTGTAGTAGGTTATAAGACTGTTCCCTCTGTATCGTCCTCTGGATGGAGTATTTGGTATGTGGGGATAGAATTATTTATTGCATTGGTTTGCCGTTGATAAAGGATGCAAATAATGTTCTTCCGATGATTTTGAACTGGGTTTTCTTGGTCAACTTTATTTATCTTTAGAAAGTTTGTCTGAGGGAACTGGTAGGTGTAATTTCTACACTTTTGGAGCTTAACTAGCACATGTTACGCATTCATATCAGTAATTGCATGCTAATGTGGTGATTTGAAGTTTCCTTTGACTATTAAGCTAATTTAATTGTGAGCTTAACAGTCAACTTTTTCTTCACAAAATCTGAACATTGAAGGTTTTATGATGGCTGTGTTAAAAATCTTGTTATTTTTACTGGGGAAATTATGTTCACTTTCCAAATTTCTGATACTGGAGATCATCGGGGGGGCTACTTCATTTCCAGTCTATTTGTCAATGTTATTTTTATTTATCCTTAGACTTACTTACCATAAAGATATTTTAATGAAAAACTCGGCCATCTAGAGGAAAGACACGTTAATTTCTGTGACATTATTGTTTACATATTTGGATTCATGTTTCACCTTTGATAACGATTTAGATAGTTTTGCCTAAAAAAGGAGATGTTGTGAAAGCATTAACCTTTCTATTTCTTGTTGGTGAAAGCATGAAGTGTTGTATTTTGAAACTCCATTGCACTGTTAGATTATTGTCTTTTCCAATCAGTTTTAGTGTCAATTCGGATAAATTTCTCTAAAAATATTTTTAGGAGAAAAAATAGGAAAAAAAAAAAAAAGTTTCAAGTCTGTTTGGATACAAACTTAAAAATGTTTTTGAAAGTTTCTCTTTTGAAAAATACTCTTTATTTCTGATAGAGAAGTTTTCAAAAGTATTTTTAGCTCATATCTAAATAGGCTCGTTCATAAACTAAAGTTAACTTATGTATGAATTAAAAATAAGATTTTGAAAAAGTTAATAGAAAAAAATTACAAAATAATTTATGCATAAGTTAATTTTAGTTTATAAAGAAATTTATTTCATTTTTTTCTTCTTATTTTGTTCTCCTAAAAGTTTTTATAGTGAAGTTTACTCAATCAAACCTTTAATAATCAATATATCTGTAATCTTATTGGAAAAATGATACCAACTGTGCAGCACCTATTTTGGTGGTAAATGAGTGTTGGTGATTCAGAGCAGTAATATGAAATATGCTTCAATGGAAAATACCAAGATACAAGAACAACCAGCCCAATGCTCCATTAGGAAGATCCCTTCCTAGTTCACAAGCTCAAAAGAACAGATAGAAACTGCTCTCAACATCACTCGAACCCTAAAACTTGTTTCAAAAACAGAATTATTATTAATATAGGTAATTTGTATCGGTTGTTATTAAAAAGTAATTTGTCATTTCTTTTCACCCAAACTAATGGGAGTTTGCAAAAGCACAATATAATGATGCGTTTACTACAAAAAAAAAAAAAAAAAAACAGACTATTTGCAGAGACAGGAGAACAATCTACCTTGCACGTAAATATTTTAGCTCTAAATTGATATTGATGTCACCTTTATATGCTGAAAATGTTTGTCTTAAGATTTTTTTTAATCTTGTCACATATATTTCTAATTTATTGGGTTAGAAACTACCTTCATTATACTCTATTTTTCACTTATCTAAAGAGCTTTTGCACACAATAAGAATGAAACATGAGATTTTTTATTAAATAAATTATTCTTATAACGTGTGAGTATGAAATACTAAATTATTATATTAATCCATCATATTTGTCTTACGATTTTAACAATGAATAACGGTCAATATCACAAAAGTAATTTGAGAATTTAGTAGGAATTTTTTTTGTTTTTTGTCTATTAAGGAGGTAAAATTCCTTCCCACCAGATCGGTTCCTATATGAATAAAATAGTATCTTGAGCTACAATTTCATATACTCAAGCTAGAAGTTGAATCTTTGTCTTTGGTTAAAGAAGTGTTGTAAGATGTTTTGATTTTGAAAAACAATATTTGTTTATTTAATGTCTGCTTGAATTCTTTTAATTGAAAACAATAATACTCGTGTAAATGTGCAAGGAATTGAAGAAAATCCATTCTTGCTATTTAGTATTGTACTGTCCGTACTGCGAAGCCGAGCTTGAGTTCGGCGTTAAAGCCAGATTGACATCGGATATACGTCACATGACATCGACCAAGACAAAGGTCCACTATCTGAACGGGTGACAACCAACCTCAGGCCCAAGGCCCAGATACACCCTAGTTCACACTAAGGTACGTGCATTACATATACGAGACCCATACACCCACAAATACTAACTTTAACATCGGAGTCTCTTTTACAGGTACCACCCTCTCTTTGGAACAACCGACGTACCCAGCAAAGGAGGGTCACAATCTTACCTATCAGATCGTCTCTCACGACCGATCTCCGGTAAGAACAAGTATTATTTGTTAATACTATTGGGATGTCCTAACCTATAGTTCGCCTAAATTATAAGTAGAAAAAAGTTATAAATTACTTTAATACAATTAGTTTCTCAATTTATATATATTCACATATCAAAGCAGCTGCCACACCTTTTTTCTTCTTCCGTTTTCCATTTGATGCACCTCCTTTTCTCTGTCAATGATGACATTGAGGCTCTTAACTAATTTTTTCACAATGCTTTTCATTTACAAGTTACACATTGATTGATATCGATATTGAAAATTAATTAAAGTTTTATTCTTTTCTAAATATCTCTAGTTATCTATACCCTTCAAGGTTACTGCAAAACATTATTCATTATCCTTAACATAAAATAGTCATCAAATGTAAAATTTTAAATTGTGGTTGGCTCATGATTTAAAACTTTAACACTAAAGACAATTGCTACTTATGAATGCAGTTGATCCAATCATAATTACGGTTGTGATGTAGTTGCAAGTTGGAAAAAACATGATATTATGTTGTGAAACCTTGGCCACTACATGATAATGAAATTACAACAAGTTTTGCAGTTTGTTACCTAATTTTCTGAAATGAAGATAAGAAAGAGACTAAGAGTTAATTAAGAGTTATTTTATCTCATGTAGTTGATTTCCCCTTGCAATCTTTCAAACTGATTCAGAACAACGCGTAAACAAAGTTAGAAGCCAACATATACACTAACGTGGTGTTAAAGTTGATTCATTTGATTGAGACTGATAATAGCTTCTCTCTTTGATTCATTGTAATTGTTATCCTAAGTTTATATATCATGTTCGTGGCACAAAGGTAAATGAACGTGTCTTCATTGGTGTCATTAAGGAAAGTAGCGAGTATCACTCCAGAATATTGTTTTGTCGTGATTCATCTATCACTCACTATGTAATCAGTGGAGGGATATATGACTTTTGATTGAGACTTCTTCGTTAGTTAATTCATATATCATTTTCCAATGAAACAGAAGCAAATTCGTGTTTATTTTTATAGTTTTAATATTTATTTATTTTTTATTATTAAATTTTTTTTTCAGAAATACTGTGTAGTAAAATTAAACCTTGCAAAAGTGAGCTTCTTTTTTTCTTTTTATCGGTAAAATGTTCAATAAAATTCAAATCTAAGAGCATATATTCAGCAATGTTATCTGAAAATTGAAAAAAATGAGCAATGTTATTTTCAGAAAACGAGGATAAAGTTGTGGGGGTTGAGGGGACATGAAGATTTAGCGTTTGCTAGTTTATTTTGCTTTAGTTCGGTTAGATGGTACTCCCTCTAAATATCTATATATAAAAAAAATCAGAAAATTTATTAAATATATTTAATTTTCATAATTTTATATAAAACATACAATTATTATAAGGGACCAAAATAGGTTTTTAGCCAAAAATTGTCATCCACGTATGCATCTATGTGGTATCCACGTGGCCAAAAGTTAACTCCGTGTAAATAATTTGGACGGAAGTCCCACATTGAAACCAATTAATTAATTTGAGACTAAATTGAAACCAATTAATTAGTTTGGGACCAAATTGAAACAAAAAATAAAAGTGGGACTAAATTGAAATAAATAATTAATATAAGGGACCAAAATAGGATTTTTGCCTTAAAAATATTATTAACCATATTTATAATAGATAGTATTTTTTATTTATTATTATAGGAATATTTTTTAAATAAGAACATTAAATAAGATTGACTTGATTTAAGTTTATTTATATTTCAATTCAAAAAATTTAAACATTCTTTGTTCATATATGTGTGTATCTGGAGGGAGTATCTGAGTAAAAGGTTGTTTGTGGGTGAGTTAGTTTTACTATTTATTATTCGGATTTGTTAGTAAATTTCTAAGTTTTGGATTCATTGATGATGATGAGTTATGTAACAATTGATTAAATTTATTATAAATTTTTATATATTAAAGATGAATTATTATTTTGTGTCAAAATATTTTTACGAATTTTTTTTTAGAAGATTTGTAAGTAATTAATATAAGGGACCAAAATAGGATTTTTGCCTTAAAAATATTATTAACCATATTTATAATAGATAGTATTTTTTATTTATTATTATAGGAATATTTTTTAAATAAGAACATTAAATAAGATTGACTTGATTTAAGTTTATTTATATTTCAATTCAAAAAATTTAAACATTCTTTGTTCATATATGTGTGTATCTGGAGGGAGTATCTGAGTAAAAGGTTGTTTGTGGGTGAGTTAGTTTTACTATTTATTATTCGGATTTGTTAGTAAATTTCTAAGTTTTGGATTCATTGATGATGATGAGTTATGTAACAATTGATTAAATTTATTATAAATTTTTATATATTAAAGATGAATTATTATTTTGTGTCAAAATATTTTTACGAATTTTTTTTTAGAAGATTTGTAAGGATTTTTTTAAACTTTTTATTTAATTTGATTTTTATATATCATAATTTTTTATGAATTAAATATTAATATTTAAAATAAATCATCAAGAAATAAAATTTTTCTTTAATATAATATAATTTATTTATCATAAATTTAAAATATAATTTATATAATAAAATATTTATTTATTAACTATTTTAATTATAATATAACTTATATATTTAAAATAATATTTAATTATTATAAATTTTAGTTATATTAAATAAAAATCTATCATGTGTTTTACATGTTAAAATATTAGTATTTTATATATTAAAAAATAATTATTTATTATGAACGTTTTCTTTTTTTCCCGACTTATCCGCATCTGGCATAATAGTGTCTCTGCAACATTGAATCACTTGTTTCTCAACAATATCAGGATTTATAGTTTCTTGTAACCATTTTAGTATGATCTTGCACCAAATGCTGCACACACCAAGTCCCTCACAATTGCAAACCCAAGTTTGGTTCCAAAGTCTGCTCCTTCCAGCATAGCAACTTAACATGAATAGGAACAGAAGAAATCAAAACTGTGGACAAGTCTAATTGAATCCATAAAAAAGTGAACTTCCACATGGCTAGATTTAGACAAGGGAAATGAGTCGTGAGTCAAACCATTAGAACACAGGCTCATCAAATTAAGGTTGTTTTCTAGTATGAATATTTATTGAGCATAACTGATTGACTCGTTCTTCTTAAAGCTTTATATGGCCATATGAAGAATAGCCATAAGTTCTTCATAGCAACAAATGTGTTTTCTTAGAACTAAGCTGTGATAGTTAAAGCATATGAGAAAAAATTCAATCGCAGGGAGTTTCCCTCTAATGATTCAGTCAAGTGTAATGTTGATAAATCAGCCTCACAGTATGCTATAGAATCTTGATTATTCAAAGACAGGTTTGTGGATTTGCAAAAAGCTACTTTCAAGAATTGTTAAAAAATGTTCCACCAAAAAAAAAGAGGAGAGAGAGAGAGAGAAATTGCTCCACAAGAAATACTGTAAAATCATGATTATAACTATATATCAAAAAACGGTTTAATCAAGCTTTGGATAACACACTGAAGTAAGACTATAAGAATTTCCTTTAATAATATCATCTTCTGTAAAATTACATACTGACATTTCTGTGCTACTCAATTCTATGATTTAGAGACAGGTGATGACAAAATTCTATAGGGAGTATTCTTCACCAGATATCATTGAAGCCTGAAGAAAGATATAAGAGGTTCATATACATCTCGGTTAGCATTTTCACCCATAACATAATCTGCATGTGCATAATCATTTCTGTACTGCACTACAAGCTTATCTGCATCGTGATCTTTAAGAATTTCTAACAGACGTTGAACATCCTTAACATCAGAAAGAGCATCAGCCCCTCCATAACTCAGGAAGAGAGGAAGGTCATTTGGAATTCTTGTCATGTCATATACTGGAGGAGTGGGTTGTCCATAGTGTTTTATGTTCTCATCTTGGTTCTCATAATCAAACATTGCAGTGGTTCCTTCTCTGATCACTGATATACATATATGAATAAAATTCTTATCCACTCATATGGAGGAAAAAAAATGTATATATTCTTATTAAAAGATGTTTGCAGTTAAATTTTAAAAATCTATGCTATTACTTCCTTTTCTTCACGAAGTATTGGTGTCTGCATGATATTTAAATTAGGAAGCAAAATAGAAGTAGAACCACTTACTCTGAGATAGGTGGATCATGTTCTTTGTTGCTGTTGACTGAGGCTCATGATCCAAAAAAACATTGACAATTGAAGGGTTCAGGCAGCAGTTTGGGCCTGAAAGCATAGTAGTGGTGTCAATATAGGAAATAAAGTGTCAAATATAGAGGTTTCCTTTTGGTGATTGGAGTGAGAGAGGTAAGGGTTAACAGCTGAATAAGAACATGAATGTAACCTGTGAAAGAGGTCAACAAGTTGGTGCAATCAATGCCTGTGTTATTGCACAAGTCCTTTAGAAACTTTATAACAGAAACCCTGTTCAAACATGAGAAAAAGATGAAGTCAAATAAGTCCCCATATCATGATTGGTGTCATACGATTAGTCATTTACTCGATTACTTCTCAATTTCGTCCTCCAAACTTATATATCACATTAGTACTTTAAATGTCAAAGATTCGAAACATCACCATGTTAGTCTTCTAAAGATTTTGTCATAATTGCGAGGGTCTAATTTGGAGATAGATTAAATCTTTGAAGAATTACTTTGGCCATAAAAAAATTTGGTGACAAAAAGAATCTATGATGGACTAATTTGGTGACTAAAATGTTTGAAAGACTAAAGGGATGATGCATAAAGCTTTGCCGGATCAAATTCATGGTTTTCTTATATATTAGTTAAACTTAACATTCAATGCGAAGCACAATTTCACATTAGCATGGATTATGGATCTGGTCTTATTCTACCCACCAAGAATTTTGAGAAATGTCTTATATTATTTTCTTACAACATAAAAGTTTGAACCATGAGAAAGTAACATTGCAGCCTTCTTATTCTCAACCACAATGCAAAGAAATGATAGACAATGAATGATAGATGATAAGTGTTACTTACCCTCTCATATTGAATTCAAAGATTCCCAAATTGTACAGTGACTGTTAGGAGGAAAACACAGATTTTCAGTGTCAATCTTACGATTTTTAAGCAGCAATTTTCTTCTCTTTTTTCTTCGGGGAAAAAAACAAAATAAAAGCATACTTATTACTAAATACCTCTGCAATAAAGTTTTCAGCGGCATTTTTAGCTAGGGGTGAAGTCATCTGACCAACATAAGCAATTGGGCTAAGTAAGGCAGCTGATCTCAACATGTTCAGTAACTGATCTTGGGAAAAAGCAGCCAATGCAATCAAAGTTCCCTGCAAAAAAATTCACCACTCCTCAGTCAGCATCACATAGGAAAGACCTAAAACAATAAGAGTGTAGCATGTGAAATTCACCTGTGAGTGACCAACATAGTGCAGCTTTTGTCCAGTTAGATCATGCACATACTTAAATGTGGCTGGAAGATCATATGCAACTAATTCATCCCATGACCAATCCCAATAATCCTAAACAATTAAACTCATACAAGCAAAAGAACCAATCAAATTGCGGACCATAAAAAGTGCAGCACCAGCAACATTAGTAGACAAAACTAACCGAGCTATTAGTAGGTAAAGAAGTATGTTGTCGACTATATTTGGTTCCACGCGTGTTAGCAACCCAAACATCGAACCCATTATCTGCCAAAAGGTATGCAAGAGACTGATTTGAAGGTAGTAATAACCATGTTATGCCATCCTGCAACCACAACATCACATTAATTACCAACATCAACTACAAAATCCATGACATAAAGTTGCTTATGAAATTAATAGTAACCATGAAAAGCCCATGCTGTAGCAGAACCGGTGGCCCCCTTGATTTTCCCACTATAATTCTTGGCAAGTTAAGAACATAACCATCTTGTGTTGTCACCTAAGAACCATAACATACACATAATAACCACTTAGTAGCTGCTCTAAATCTTGCTGATTTCTTACCATAAACAGAAACAGATGCAAGCACAGTGCATACCAAGTGTTCTTCACAAACATAGCCTTGTGTCTTCACCATTGATGAGCAAATACCATCAGTTGAGGGTGATGATAATGCAGTAGAAGTGCTAAGTGGTGATAATTTTCTTGCAGTTGCAATAGTTAAACCCCAGAAGAGAATCACAAGGATTGTTGAGAGTGATGTATTGGCCATGTTCTGTTTCCTGGTACATTAATCTTCCCAATCCAGACATTATTTATACACGCAGAAAACAGGAAAAAATAATAGTAATAAGGTATTCACATGAGGGGTTTTAAACCACCTTTTTTGTCAACAGTGGTTTAAACAAAAGCATATGTGGGGTCTACCAAGGAGCTACCATTAAACTAAAGAGATTTTTGGAATTTTTTGCCACGGTTCTTTAACTGAGCAAGAAATGTGTGGATGGTTTTTCACTGCAGAGGTGACCCCTGACCAGACCAATGTGGTGCATATAAAAAGCCAAAACATGTGCCTTGAACAAAATATTATGTAATACTTTCTCCAAGTTTTGTCCAACATAGCATACCAAGCCTTGCCTCAAAATAAGGCATTGAAAAAACACACCAGAAATCTTGCTTACCATAGATGCATGGAATTTTACATATTTATTCACACTTGGTATAAATTAACAAATTAACTTAATTAATAAGTATCCAATACATTGTACAGATATATAAGATTTTAAAATATTAATTGAAAGAAAAGTATTTTAAATTATAGGTGAAATATGAATGATTAATTTAAATGGATATACAATATAAGACATTCAAGTTTGCAATTAGTATTAAGATAATATGGGATGGTGGGAATTGAATCATTATTATTCATTCCTTTGAGTTAGTGATAAGGATTGAGCAGCTGCGGCTATAATAATAGATATACTAAGCAACCGATAATTAAAATGGAAAAAAAAAAATGGAAAGATATTTATGAAAAATCATTGAATATAAGACGATGATTATGATAAATTGCTTATGTGGCTAAATTATAAAGATTTTAGTTGTAGAAATGATATTTTTACTGCCTGCACTTCAAGTTGTTTGGAATTTTCTTTTTTTCATTTAAAAAAAATTCAGAGCACGAAGAGAATAACTTAATAGCAAAGTAGGGGAAATTAAAAGATATTCATCAGTTCGGATAATGAAAAAATAATAAATCAAGAATGAAAAAGGCTATAAATAATGTAACTAATGCATCAGTTATGTACCGGCATTCTTGGTCGGTAATTGTTGAAAGCACTGGTTCAAATGCTGGTAAAAAAAAAACAAATAAAAAATCAGTTATGTGTGTTTATTTTATGCACGAATTAAAAAATGAAAAGATAATTAAAAGCTTAACGTGTATATAAGCGAATTTGCCAACAATTAACAATAAAGTATATAAACTCCCAAAAAAATAATAAAATATATAAAACAGCAAAAGTATACGGTATGCCTTTTTATGCAATTTTGAACTGAGAAAATTGAAAGCCTTTTAGATATTTATCTTCAAAAGGGATAATTTTCAATGAAATTTCATCTCTTTGATTGAACCATCTTGGATTCTTGGGGATGCCTTCTTAGCCATTATCTAAAATATTAACATCAAATTCATCATGCCGTAATTTTCTGAATCTCTAAAAGGTTGTTTATTTGGGTGAACTATTTACAGCATTTTTAGAAGAAAGCTTTCAAAGTGAAGATGTTGATTCTAGAAAAATTTTACCTCTGTAAAAAAGTTAACTCTCGAATAATGCATTATTATTTTTAATGTCCAACCATTGTAAATTTTTAAGATAACTATACCACTCATAAAGCACCTGAAATTGATTACATAAATTTACAAACAAACAAAAAACAATTTATTATGACAAGGCTAACAATTAAATTATTAAAATAACTTTTAGAAAGAAAAAATTACTATAATCGTCTCTAAAGTAAAGAGCTATTGAAGAATGATGTGGGATTGGCCCTTAATAGAAATTGCACAATTAAAAAGATGAGCATTGGAAAGAAAATAAATAAATAATACAATGGTTACTATAGAAGGTAAACACTGGTTAATGTACTACTGTTAATGGATTAAAGGACAACATTAAAGTAGAGAGAAACAACGTGAAGTAAGAAATCATAGAGATAAAGTGTTTTTTCTTTTTTGGTATATAGAGAAAAGAAAGAAAAAATAACAGCTAACAAGAAACTACATTCTAATGAAACTTAAACTCATGGCTTCCGCCGACAGCAGGCTCCCAGATGAGATGAATATTGATGAATCACTTGAACTCTGACTCTTGAATTAGGGCCAAGTTTTGACAAGAAATATGCTCTCTTATCGAGTGTCTAACAACCACCTTCTATTGACCCTGTAAGAGCTCCTTAATACTTGCCAATATGAACTAATATATGTGACAAATATCAAATGGTAGGAAGAAATTAGAAAGAGATAAAGATGGTTTTAGACATTAGTTATTTATTTAAAGTTAATATTAATAAATAAAATAATGTAGTGGATAACTTCAAACCAATAATAGTGCACAATAGAACAAGATATCTATTAGTTCATGGGCTCTGCAATCTGCATACATATATATTATTTGGAGTGTCACACAACACACGTAGAAAATGAGATTGTAACAAGTATAAGAAGCTAATTTTAATTATCTATTATGTAAAAGGTAATGTTAGTCTTATATTTTACTTATATGACCAAGAATAACCCTTTATTTTCACAAACCACCGTAAATTAGAAGATGTGTTCAAATAAATTTTCAATAAACTTACTAAAATTATTCTCATACATTTTCTCATTAATTTTTCAAAGACCAATTTGTCTATTTAATTGAGATGCTAACAATGTACTCTTTAACGTTTTTTTTCTTCCTAATATATTATTTTATATTATGCAGAATTTATGTGAGACTCGTTTAATATCTAAGTTTCATTTCATCTAGTGAGTTTTATTTACAAGCTAGTGAAATTAGGCCTAAGCAAAAATGATAAATCCGACCAAAATCTAAACTAATCAACAAAAGAAAAATATTTACGAGTAGATTCAAACAATTAAATGGGTTATGATGGTTATATAAATCACAATTGATGGGTTATGACAAACTAAATCGATTTTGAAATATTTTTTTTTGTAAATAACTAAACTCGACTAAATGCATTTATAAAAAACCTAAAATTTATAACTTAGTTAATTCATAAACTGAACATACTTGAACCAACGAATATAAATTAACAAATGAGAACAAATTGCAAACTTTGAAAAGTAAAAGTTTTTTATTTTTATCGATGTCTTTTTATCTTTTGAAATCCAGCAAAATTCAATGGCTGAAAGATGTATAACTCTACGAGTAAAACTCTTTAATAAGTTTTAGTTTTACCCCGAGCAAGAGCTTCTCATTCACTTTAGTACCAATATCAATGTTGAAAGATTTTTTTAGTAGCCATTTTCATTTTGCAAAGTAATGTTGAAGCTCCATTTATTCTCATTTAGTACCAACGTTTCAAAAGGTAATCAAAGGTACAACTTTTATGATTCAAGCTCCATTTTTTTCCTCATCCAGTACCTCCTTCACCCATCTTTAGTTTATTCAAGTTCCACTCGTTGTCTCCATTACTCCTTTATTGTTGCATTTTGTCAACTTCAATTTTGTCTCCACGGGAAACATCAATTTTATACGACACTTGTCCTTAAATCATCCTACAAGAAACGTTCAGATCTACAAGATTTGTGAAATAGAAGACCCGACATAACCCACACACTAGCATCCAAACCCAAACTAATCTGAAGACTAATAGAACGATAACATGTCTAATAATTCTAGATTTTGATTTTCTGTGAATTCAACATTCTTAACCAAAACCCTCTGATGATCACCCCCTAAGTGGAATCCTCATGATTCATGAATTCAACTAATAGGAAAGGAATATTGGAAACAAAGTTTTAAAAAAATAAGTCGCTGCATCTCTTCTTAAATTATTATCTTGATGGACAATTTTGTTGTTGAAATTACACTATAAAGAACTTGTTCATTCCCCCAGGCAACGCAAATTTACTATTCAGACAAGTTTAAATTGAATTAAGTCAATTAACCAAAAGTGAAAAGAGAGTGATCCATTTACCAGCCCCCAAAATTAAAGGATGTGTATTTCCTCCATTATAAATTTAACAATCAAAATAAAAACACAAGTTCTTAAAGCAGTCCTCACATGAAGGATGAAGAATTTATGAAGCTATAAGGGCGAGCAACTGCAGGCCAAAATAATATAAATATCAGTGCAAAAATTGATGATAATTGGTAATAACTATGTTGTTGTTCTGTATCTAATTGAATGCCCAATCCAGTATCTGCAGCCATCTCTATCAATATTGGAGCTTAAAAGAACCATTTTGTAGAAGTAGTATACTAATGGGATTTTCCAGCAATATGTGTGGTAGATGCATCCTTTATACTTGTTTCAGATGTTTTCAGGGCAGTATCAGACACTTTGGATCTCGTAAATTTTCTTCTAAGGAACTGAAATTGCAACCCTCTAGGTTTTATCTTCCCAAGCAATTGCCATCTTCTAGGAGTAATCTGTCCTAGCAATTTCATTTGCTCCTTTCTGAACTTCTTAGCTGCATACCAGCCTCCACCTCTCCATCCTAAGCCATACCTGTACATCTGCTAAGGTGAGACTTTAAAACTAAAAGGAAATTGAATTGTATAAATCCATTGATTGCAAAATATCAAAAGAAAACAAAAGTCAATGTGCATGACCTATGCAGTACCAACAGATTAAGAGAGGAAAGTTGTTCAAGTCAACATATATTCACCAACACATACAATGAAAAAGTCCAATGCAATTCTCTTACCTCTGATATCTTATACGCATGTTTAAACAGTTGCTAACAGATGGCAATGACATATATAACATGGCAATATTCCCTTTTACTGATTAACACATTTTTTTTAATTGATTTTAAGTGAGGCATCTATCAAACATTTATACCAACATAACATGTAATCAAACATATTTGACATCATACTAGTACCACATTCCAAATTCAGAAGCAACCATATTGAGTAATGATCTATGTTTGAGAAAACAAAAAACAGATAAGAAATGGAATGTGAAAAGGTTCGAGAGAGAGATACCTCCCCACTTCCCTGTTTTCCTCCTAAACCCAAAGTCCTTCTCTATTTGCCAAACTACACCTGATATTAATCTTCACCATTGATTGTTTATTTTTGTTATCCTCAAAATTTTAGAAACTTGAGATCGTGAAGCTAAGAATGATCAAATTTATGAATGTGTAGGAAACCATTTGTATGAGTAAAAAATTTTACTTCATGAAACCAAATGTGTAACCTATTAATTTTGTCAACCACATTCCTCCTCACAGTTTATTACCTTGCTCACAGTGGCTCTATGCACAAATCAATGTCCCATGTGAAAACATTTCCCATCACAGAGAAGAAAAATCCAAGAAATATCTCAAAACAGATAAATTGCCAGGGGTATGTAGACAAGGGCAGTCCCAAGCCGAGGTGTAAAAGAGGAGAGTTGTGTTAAGCCTTCGATAAACATCATAAAACTTGTCAAAACCCCAAACATGGATTGAACCAGATCATTGGTGAACAAGGCAAATTATGTACTGATCAACCTTAAGCATAAAGCCACCTAATTTAATCCATGTAAACTATGAGGCAAAAGGATTCACAATGATATGAATAAGAGATCAAAAGCCAATGGGTGACTCGGCAAGATTTTTACACTATAATAACTTGAAGTTAAACAAAAGTTAACTTGTCTAACTAATAATCTACACTATTAGTTTAGTTTATTATGAAAACACTTTAATTATACAGCACCCAAATTCATTTTCCAACTGGGTGGGGCTGGTTACATGCATCAAACAACTTTCCTCAATCTTTCATTCTTTCATAATAAGCATGGCGCATGCTATAACCTTTCATGTTTCTGGAAGTAACTAAACAAATTTGTGAACCATTAATATTCAAACTTTAATATGTTTTCCACAGCATATAGATTGCAGTTGCAGTAATGAAATGGTAAGGAGCATTAGTTAGCAAGTGTGATGAAGGGGGAACAAACCCGATAATCAAGGAAGTTCCGGCAGTGGCGACACAAAAAGGAATAGAACAACCTCCGGAGCCTGCGACAATGTCTTTGAGTTCGGAATGTTGGAGAGTGGAATGGTTCTTCATCTGGCGAAACACAACACAGCATACATAGATGAAGCAAAAGAAAGGGGAGAAAATGAAGATAAGAAAGAGATGTAGATAGATAGATAGAAAGGTACAGCATTTTCAATGGATTGAAGCCTTTGATCGACTTTGGTATCATGCAAATGGCGCAAGGAATAGCCTGAGGGAGTGAGGGAGGGAGTGAGTTAGGGTTGTGATGTTAGGGTGCAAAGGAGAGAAGCGAAGAGAAAAGAAAACAGACCGAACCAAGCAGTGGCAACGGAAGCGAGGGAAGTTCCGACGGTGAAGACGACGCGATGTCTCTCGAAGGTATCTTTTGTGGAAAAATAGGTATCTTGGATGGCAGCCCATGAATTGAGATACTTCTTCCTAAGGTTGGGAGCCGACAACACTGAACCCCTTAATCGCTGCATATCATATCATATCATATCACTTCTTCACCCTTCAATCATCTCCCTCTATAATCAAACCTCCCCATGCCCTTTTTTCTTCCCACTAAAATCTTTCTTTTTTTACATTTTTTTATTTTATTTGAATAAATAAAGTACTACAATTTGGAATTTTAAGTTAAAAATTCACGATATAATATAGAATTTTTTAAGAAAATATTATTTTTTTTAAAAAAAAATACCCAAATAACCA